ATTGCCCCCCTACTGCAAGGTGAAGACCCCGCGAATCCCCCTCTGCCCCTGTACCCTACTCACGGTCTGGGGGAAGATCCAGGCCGTCCCTCCTCCACTGCAGCTCATCCTCAGCGCCCCCTGGTGGATCAGAGGAGAAGACTTACTCCCCCAGACAGAGGCAGCCACAGAAGATCAGCCTTCCTCCCTCCACACAGCCCCCCAGCTGTTAGAAAGCTCTTTCACTGCCGCGCCAGAGACACGGGCCTCGGAAACACACCACACTCACAGCAGGCTGCGGGTCCGAGGAGGCAAAATTAATTTCCTTAATTGCATAAACGCATTTCTGCCGGGATGCAGCAGGTGAAATTTGATATTTGATACGAGATGAGCGTCTGCTATCATTCTGGAAGAGGATTAAGAGGAAATTGCCAGTTGGCCACATTCGCGTACTGATCTGCCTCCTGAGCGCGTCTGGGAGAAATAAGCGCTCCTTCACGGCCCGAAACTCTCACCGCAACACAACACTGCTGGTTTCTCATCCCCGCCCTCATCAGCCTCATCAGGCCCATACACTCATCTCCTCAGGGGAGGAACCCTCTCTGACGGCGGACAGACACCCCGGCTCTGACGAAAACGCTGCTGGGGAAGTTGTTTTTACTTCGCTAGAAGATGGTTTCGTTTTCCACACCGATCGCGTCGGTTTGTTCCTGATACTCTCGTTTGGAGCCCCAGACCCGTCCTTGATCTGGGATTAAAACCACCAGATCATTTCAGCTCCATAAAACCGACTCGCTCCAGACAGGATATTTTGTTTCTGTCCCATAAAACAGAGAACCCTCCGTCAATCGCCAACACTCCGTCTTCACGCACATTTGTTAAGAATCATTATATATATCTGATGCATCGCAATAATCTAGGTAAAAATACACATAAAAATGTCCGTAAAACTCCATACGTGTACTAATACACTGTACAGGTCCATGTAGTGGTGCTTTGCCCGACTTAAGTGGAAACTTTAAACAGGAAATGTTTAATTGCGAAACCAAAAGTTTAAAACTAAGAAGGTAACGGCTTTTTGCAGACGAATAACCCATCCAAACGAGATTTTTACAGGTTCTTTGCGAAAATACGTCCTCATTATGTCTGGAAATTTTCTCGGGCCGATCGCGAAAGTTTCCGACTTCGAGACCCGAGCTGCCTGGGTGTTTGAATCGGTCCCGGTTCCTCATCACCTGACGACGTCACACATTAAACATCCCCCCCACACAGCCTTGGGGTCACTCACAGCGCTCCAGCGGCCCCCCGGTGTCCATGCCGTGTCCGTGGCCCGAGTAACGGTGCTGGTGTGCAGGGAGCCCGCCGGAGCCAGGAGCTGAGTGCGCCGCTTACAGCCAGCGCAGTGTCCGGAAATCTTCCAAATTCCCCCCAAAATACCCTGAACTTCGTCTCGCCTCTCAGCTCGCGAACACCGCCGCCGCAGCGCGTCACACCGCCCTCGGAGCTGAAACAGGGCCGCGCGTCAGCTCGGGGTCGCGCAC